TATATTTACCTAGCAATTCTGAAATAAAATATCACTCTTTTTTCATTCTGAAGATTTAAAACTTTCAGCACACTGACCCATTGAAGATGATGGGAGTATCTACTACTGATGATGTCGTAGATTTCAAGGAGAAATAGGATTGTTGTTGGCCAAAGGGGCTTCCCTTCGGCCCGCGTAGACCTGGTAACCCCCTACTGCCTGGTTGGCCTGGGTCCCCTTTCAGTCCAGGTCGCCCTGGAGGACCAATTGGACCAGGTTCTCCTTTCTGACCCCTGATGGTATGATCTGCCTCACCTGCTCATGCAAATAAACAGTTATTACACAGCATAAAAATATCAGTGGAAATTGAAACTGAAGTACAAGATAATCAGTTATCTTTTGGCCAGCTTGGCAAATGCACCAATGAAGTGTTTTTAAATCTGTTAATGAAGAAGTCCTCTGACTAAATAGATGTTTTAGTAATAGGAACGAAAACCTGCACTCCATATAGTGTACAGTTAATATTGAGTATTTATTCTCTTCATGTGCAGTCTGCGCTCACCGGGGTCTCCCTTCTCTCCTTTAGCACCATCATTGCCGTTGGGCCCATGAGTGCCTGGTATCCCAGGAATCCCAGGGATTCCCCCATTGCAGGACTGCATATCAGCTGGGGTGATGTGAACCAGAAACAGCAACACTGCAGTACTGCAGCTCAGCCACTGGAGGGCCTGATCACACAGATATGAGTTACCTTTCAAAAAAATAGACCCTCATATAAAAAAACAAATAAACCAAAACATAAAAATAAAATAAAATAAAGCTTTCAGAAGAATTTCCATCTAAGTGGAGCGACAAGCTACAAACTGAAGATATAACTTTTTAAAGATTGTATTGAATACTTACAAAAATAATAAATTAAAATACAAAAAATACAGGAAGATGTTTAGGATAAGTACATTTGAGTCTTTAAAAAGAAATCTGTAAAAGACAAGAACTCTAAAACATTTAACTACACTTAAAAAGTGAAAGATAATTGACACAGATTTGAATCCAACATGAACAACCATTCAGCAAGAAATGTGAGGAAACCCAACACTTCTGTACAAGTCTGTACAGTTTTGTCGGGCTAGCTTTTTAGTATCTGTAAAAATCATCTCACCATTTGCAGGTAATAAAGTGTTTCCTGCTGCAGCGGAGCGATAAGCTGATGGGGAGCGGAGATGAAGACTTTTCGTTGTGCTTCACTGTGACTGCCACAGCTCAATCGGGCGAAAAAAGAGGAAGTGAAACTTAAGAGAGCAAGAAGAAAAACTATTGGTGTCACTATTAATCCTTTCTGTGGTACAACACTAATTCTTCACTCTGTAGGGACTTACAGGGACAAATCCAATCTGTGGCCCCCCTATTGGGTTTTGAAGATACTGCAGCAGGTCTTTAATAGGCCGTTTAGGTTACCAGAGAAATATGGTCTGGTCTGATTATTTGGGCTTTCTCTTTATTGCTGTAGGCTCATAACCTTGCAATGAAAATTGCCTTGAGATGATGATGTTGTTGTGATTTGGTGGTGTGTGAAAAAAAGTGAATAGAATAGCTGGGGTACCTGGAGAGAACCCATGCAGAAATGGGGGAGCATGCAAACTACACTGGAGTCCACAGACCTCAAGATTAAAACCTACGACTGTCTTCCTGTGAAGTAAAATTACTAACCACTGCATCTCTAAATATACTTATTCAAAATGAAACACCCAATAATCACAAAAAATGAATGAAATAAATGTTACATCTAATTTGACATTGGTTATGAACAATACCAAGGAGGAAGCGCTGAAGTGTTAAACTGAGCAGAGATTTATTGTTTTTGCATCATGAACATCCAGAAATGATTTGCCTTTCAACTATATATATATGATTGTACATACTCTTAACTGCATGTTTGGAAATGCTACACTGATTTTACAGTTTAAAAAAAAAAGATTGTGAGGCCCTGTCTCTGCTACATCTAAAAATATAACGTCAGTTATTCAGTTTTATTTTTTTTATTCAACAAAACTGAAGTTTAAGCATTTTCTTTTACTTAGAATATGAACCATGACTCATCAATCAATAAGTCATTTACAACAGTAAACTGATTATTTATTATTAACCTTTATTTTACCAGGAAAAGTCCCATTGAGATTAAAAACCTCTTTTTCAAGGGAGTCCTGGCCAAGAGGCGACAACATGTTAAAATTACAAAGTTACATACATGTTATAAGTAACAATTACATTTTAAAAAACATTGGATCCATGATTGGATCCATGAAGCAAAAATACATTTTTATAGGGAAATAACTGTTTTTTTGTTTTTTGTTTTTTGTTTTTAAAGAGGTGGCAACTTTAAAGCTGAAATACATGATACAAAATATTTTGGCCCCTTCTTCATAACAACTGAGGGTGGGGGAAAATTTCTTAGAACTCATCCACCAGGATAACTCCGTTTGGATGATGTTTATTGACAAATGTCCTGACAAAGACAGCTGTAGTTGATCAGTGTCTTTGTGTTTTTATGTTTTTAAGTCCAAATTTAATCAATAAAGAACTTTTGAATTAAATGGCTCAAATATATATTGTTATTAAAATATTGTGAAGTGAAAATATAGCAAAACAAAATGGAAATTACATCCATCAGTCTTATTTACAGTCTACCAGTAATTTCCAGCATGTTATATATTTCAATTTATCTACTTTTTCCTGTTTGTTCTGTTCTCATTTGATTCTTTATGATTATTGCATTTAGTCAGTTTTACCCAAGAAAGTAATTTTTTTCTGAAACCTTCTAAGGAAGTGAAACTGTTTCAGATAAGGTCAGAGAAGTCTCCACCAAATGAAGAATTGATGATGAAGCATCACTGAGGGCATCTGATTAAAAAAATCTTTCCTCTAAATTAACATTTTGTTCTGTTTTTCTATCAACTTCTTTTTTATTGTCAGAAAAACACGGTGTTTCCAGGCAGTGTGCGGCTGAACTCCTAACCTCATTCTGGATGTTGGTATCTGTTCCACAAAATATTTGATTTGCTCCACATTATGTAGCTGGTGTTTATTTTTAATAATGGCATCCTGTTAATTTGCTAGTTTGGCATTTTCTCTTCTCATATCCTCTTTTCATTTCTTGCATTTTAGATCGCAGCAGCAAATCATCCACAAAGTGGTAGGATGTAATCACAGAGCAGTGTCAGCAGATGCTGAGACATGTAGTGTCCAGGTCGCCAACTCCATTGCTAAAGACCTTGAAACTTCAGTTGGCCTTGAGATTAGCTCCATTCCCTGAAGCACAGAGAAGTTCATGAAATTAGTTTCCATGACCAGCAGTTCCAGGCAAGTCTTACCTCACCAAGAGTAATGCAAAACACCAGATGCAGTGGTGTAAAGTACACCTCTACTGGAGTCTAGAGCAGTGACAATGTATTTTTTGGAGTGGCGAATCACTCTTCTCCGTCTGGTAATCCGATGGACGAGTCTGGGTTTGGCAGTTGCCAGGAGACCTTTTCTGCATTGTGCCACGTTTGGTGGAGGGGGGGATTATGGTGTGAGCATGTTTTTCCCAGTGGCGCTACAGTGCTCAGCCCCTTAGCTTCAGTGAAAAGAACTCATGTTGCTTCAACATACATATCAGCATACTACATTTTGGACAATGTCATGCTCCCAGCTTTGCGGGAACAGTTTGAGGATGATCCCGTCCTGTTCCAACGTAACTGCACATAAGTGCATATAGTTAGGCCCATAAAGGCATTGATGAGCAGGTCTGGTGTGGAAGAAATTAACTGGCCTACACTGAATCCTGACCTTAACCTGATTGAACACCTTTAGGATGAATTAGAGCGGAGACTATCAGGCCTTCTCATCCAACATCAGTCTAACCTCACGAATGCACTTCTGGAAGAATGATCAATAATTCCATAAAAACAGTTGTAAACTTGGAAAGCCTTCCCAGAAGATCTGAAGCTGTTATAGGTGCAAAAGCTCAGATGACGTCATATTAGACCCAGCTGATTAAAAATGGGATTTCACTGACATTCATATGTGTGTGAAGGCAGACGAGTGAATGCTTTTGACAATGTAATGTATGTGTGCACTCATGGTCACTAACTATGGTGCGATAAGTCATTCATAGCTGCATGTAAACAAACACCTGCACATTCATTCACGTCATACTGGGGAAACTAAGTCCCTGACTGTCTTCCTTTCATCAGCAACCGAAGCAAATCCCCTATTTCTGCTCTGGTCATGCAGTTGAGAGTGTGGAGGATAGATATTGTTACCTTAATGCACCACAATCATCTAAACCTATTCCACAGGTTTTATTGAACATCACATAGTACCTGTCATCATCCTGGGTCTCCAACTCAGTATTTTAAGTTTTTTTTGTATTTGGTTTTTTGTGTTTAAGTTTGTTTTTTGGTAATATTAGTATGTTGTTGTTTTCCCAGGTCATGTATCATATCCTCTGTTTGTCGTCTGTTCATATCCTAGTTTGTTCTCTTTTTGTGATCCATTTCTGTATCTCCAGTCATGTCCCTGTGTCTCGCTGGTCTCCCTGTTTTCTGTTTTGTTTGTTCTGTCAACTTCTTATGTCTTAGTCCTGGTCACTACGTCTTCTCGTGTGCGTTCACTTTTACTTCCTCTGTCTCATCGGTTAGATTCTGTCCAGTTGTTTTCCCAGGTGTGTCCACTCTGCCCTAATCCCCTCCTGTGTCTGTCTCCCTTTATTCTTTGTCGTATTCTCCCTCATGATGTATGTAGTCTCTGACAATCAATTTTACTGCTAGTTTGTTCAAATGCGACTTTCTTTTACTGATTTTGTTCTCTTTGCTGTGTGTGTGTGTGTGTGTGTGTGTGTGTGTGTGTGTGTGTGTGTGTGTGTGTGTGTGTGTGTGTGTGTGTGTGATCATTGAAAGTGTGGTCATTTTTGAAGTGAACAGAAAAGGAAAATATATAATAAATGGAGACATTAATTCAAAGAATCACAACAACACAAAGGCTTGGTTGATGCTCAGCTCTTTATTTAGTTTGTTTGTTTAAACTATGTGACAGCGGGGCACGGAGCTGATGGGACATTCTGTGCTTAAATGTGAACTCGAGATAATGATGGAAATTAGAAAAATCAAACTGTGTTTGGAAATGCATTTAAAAATCACACCCATTAATATCAACTGAGTCTGCAGAAAGTCTGAGTATGAAACCAACTTTATTAAACTGAACAAGAGAAACTTCAAATTTTAGACAGAACCATCGACAGTCAGTTACAAACACAAAGATCTTCTCCATTTGAAGTGTCAGCTTTTCAACTGATAGGAACTCAGAGCTGATTCAGCAGAAAGAGAATAAAATGGTGCATGTTGGCCGCTGAATAAAAATGAAAATGAAAAATAAACATTCTGTGCCTTTTACAAAGGTAAATGATCATTGTGAAGAAACAGTAAGAAAATGTTTTCATGTTGTTTCAGTCGTTCAGCTGTCAAACTGTTTTCTGTTTCCTGTCCTGGGGGTGATCAGTGAGAGTGAAGCAAGAAGCCAGAGAAGATGCTGTATCCGTTTCGTGTCCCTCTCATCGCTCTGTAGTCTTTAGTCTCCAACCAAACCTCTTGATCTTTTGACACGTACACCGCCAGGCCACCAGAAGTCACCTAGGATCAGCGGAGTTCAAAAATTAAATGGAGGATATATCTATTTCAGAGGTTAATACACTCTGACCCAATAATAGGAATTGTTATCGTCTGATGCTTGTACCTGTCTCCCTCCCTGCCGATGATCGCAGAACGATGCCAGCAGCATGTTGTCACGCTTCAGCAACACACACAGTTTTTCATCTAACGAGGCATGGTACACAAAGTAGTACGTTCCTGGGACCCGACACCTACATGCGACACAACAACACAATGAAGATGATTCTATACAAGTGGATTTGTTTCTTATGTCTTATGTCATATTGGGCAGAATTACTTTGTTCAAAACAGCGGAGTTATCAAAATGTTATTCACAGTTAACTCTGGAATATTTGGTAACAAGGAAATTTCAGGACTGGACTTCCACCGGTGGTATGCCCTCAGTTCAGTGATGTGGATGGATGAGGGATTTTTTTTTTTTGTAATGTAGTGTGTCTCAGCAACTACAAGGTGAGACCATGAAGTTTCAAGACTTTTGACGCCTGTTTCAATTCAGTTCCTTTGCTTCTGCACATTTGGACAGCTTTCTAGAGCAATCAGTAGAAGACCCAATCTAACCTCAAAGCCTTTGTTGTTAAACCCTTAACCTCCTCTGGTAATTCTTTGTTTTTTACATTCATCAGGTCCCAATATGCCCCAAATATCAAAGAGAAATTAAAAATGCATGCCATGGAAGAGCTGGGGTCTTAGGAGGTTAAGATTTTTGGCAAGAGGAAGTCACAGAGTGCTAAATCTGGGGAATCGAGTGGATGGGAAAGACGCAAAGACTGGATGCAAAGACTCTTGGTGTAACTCATGAAGCAAGAAGAACGTGGAGCTTGATGACTGGAATTTACTGTGCATGAGTGTTTTGATGTATGCAGGTTTATACACCGCTCTGCTTTTAATCATTACTTATTATTAATCTCTGGCTGTCTTCCACATTTTGTCTTTTGTCCTGTTTTCCTCCCCTCACCCCAAACTGGTCATAGCAGATGCGTGCCCCTGCCTGAGCCTTGTTTTGCTGAGAGCCTCTTCCTGTTAAGAGGGAGTTTTTCCTTCACTCTGTCACCAAGTGCAAGTTTTTTCTCTGTATTACTTTATGGTTTTTAACTTACAATATAAAGTACCTTGAGGCAACAGTTTTTGTGATTCGGTGCTATTTAAATAAAATAGCAGACATGCTCATGTGCAGTCCTCCAAAATCCTAATTATGATGGTGTGGTAGTGTTGTCTCTGATTGTTATAGTATGAGTGCTTGAACTCTATGATCATTATGAAATGTATTATTATGAAAGTTTGAGCAGGAATCATTGTTGCCATCACGTTTCACTGCTGAATGAGTCTGTACAATTTTAAAACTAACATTAATCATTCAACATTAAAGTGGCAAACACACCTACAGTGATCGGTCTGGCCTGAAAGAAAAATGTCTCACCTGAAGCGTCCTGTGTTTGTGTTGTAGTCATCGTTGATGTTGGTGATTGCATCTGTGAACTTAATGACGCTGGCTTTATCCGGGTATTGGTTTGTCGCTCTGGCCACACTGAAGGCCGCCTGCTGCTGGACTACAACAGCCCTGCAGCAACAGAGAGTATTTTTTTAATAGAACAGGGTGCCATTTTTTTAAAGCAGCTAATTAATGCAGAACAACTGCAGTGGACTGTTTTTTGTTTTGTTTTTAACAGTGAACATGATGCTCTCATCTTGAATCCTCCCTTTGCAATACTTGCCTTCGATGCATGATTCTGCTTCTTCATTCACCTCTTTTGACTCTCATCATGTTTATACATCACTCTGCATTTAATCATTACTTATAATAATAATAATAATAATAATAATAATAATAATAATAATAATAATAATAATAATAATAATAATGTATAATTTATTGATCCCCGTGGGGAAATTATTCATCTCTGGCTGTCTTTCACACTTTCCACTTGTCCTGTCTTCCTTCCCTCCCTCACCTCCCAAATGCCACGACCCTCATTTGGCTGTCCCTCCCTGAGTCTGGAGGTTTCTTCCTGTTAAAGGGGAGTTTTTCCTTCCTACTGTTGTCAAGGGCTTACTCATAAGGGGTTGTTTGTTTTGAAGGGGG